CGCTACCGCTACATGCTCTAAATGTAGCGGGCGCTACCGCTACATGCTCTAAATTTAGCGGGCGCTACCGCTACCGCTACATGCTCTAAATGTAGCGGGCGCTACCGCTATCGCTAAATGCTCTAAATGTAGCGGGCGCTACCGCTACCGCTACTGAAAATGTAGCGGCCGCTACATGTAGCGCGCTACTGCCAACCTCTGGTTGTGAACGTAAGTACACTCTCAATCCTAACAGTCCAAATAATCGCGAGTATTACATGGACAATTGGCATTGAAATGAATATTTGGAACATTTCAAAATGATCACATCTTTCATGCACCATGCCGTCCGTAGCCTCGACCATTCTTGCCACTATTTTTCCATCCTTCCGTAGATACGCTAACCGTCGCTGGTCTAAAGCCTTGCGATGTTAGAGCGACTTGTATTTAATTCTAATATATTAGATGACAATACTTCAGGCTTTATCAACAACATGAAATAAAATATCACAGAGGATGAACTCCCAAGTGTGTGGCCATATTCTGCAAGATAACTTGGACCCCACATTTGACGCGCGCTTGGTTAGGATGTTGCACACTATATAATTATGTTTAATTTACTAACAGGTTTATTATACCATCATTGATTTTTCTGTGTTTCCTTCAACATTTTTGTTGCCTTCACTTCACATCGTACGTTTCTTATCACTCAGAAGAATGTATAGGTCATATTCAGAGGTGGGCAGTAGCGCGCTACATTTTCAGTAGCGGTAGCGGTAGCGGCTCTACATTTAAGGCAATGCATCGGTAGCGGTAGCGCCCGCTACATATTTAAGTAGCGATACGAGGTTTTGCCGCTACAGCGCTACCGCTACATCTATAGATAAAGCCTATAGATTTTGTTTAATGGGACCGGCTATACCCTCCAACAAAACTTTTTTGTTTACTGACGGATCGTTTTGAAACTTGGTACACATATGTAAAACAGAAATCTAAGACCTTTTTGTTCATGTAAATTTAAAAAAATGAAAGAAAACGTGGAATTAATAGAAAACAGCAAATAAGGGGTACTCTAAAAAAGTTTATAACTTTTGCAAATCACATGCTACAATGTCGAGACAACAATATCTAGCGACTGTAGAGCCCCGATTTTTTATTTTCCTCATCGTTTTTTTCGCGTTCATCCCATTTTTTTCACATTTTTACCCCCACCTTCCTCCCCCTCCCATATATACTGTAAGTCAAACCATGCACATATTAAAAAAAAGGCATCTAGAGTCGCTATGTATTGTTTTTACAAATCGAATGGTATGTCTCTCATTGCCGTAGCTTGAAAACTGTTGGAGTAATAATTTTTTTAAGATGGCGTTTTTTGGATTTTTAAATTGTTTAAGGGAGCCAAATAAAGTAAAATTCATTGAAAACAGAAGAATATGCCCAAAAAGTCTTGATATTGTAGCCAAAGATTTCCCATTGACAATTATTTGCATTCAAGGTACCAGCACGCGTCTTTAGACCTATTTATGTTCAATTTAACGTGAATAATAGGCTATAAATGGGACTTTTTATATATAAATATATATTGTTTTATTATCATTAAATGTTAATGAGTAAATCCCAATAGAAGAACAATAAATATTTAGAGATTTCCAATAATTTTGGCCATTGTAGCGGCTAATGTAGCGCGCTACATTTTACTGTAGCGGTAGCGGTAGCGCCCGCTACATTTAGAGCATGTAGCGGTAGCGGTAGCGCCGCTACATTTCCAAGTAGCGCTGCCCAGCTCTGGTCATATTGTCCAAATAGTGACCACTTCCGCACGTGGCACAGTTAGGTAATTTTTCCGGGCGAAGTGGTTCAAGATACCCACATTAGGGCAGAATTGCATCGTTATTTGGGCACACCGGTTAACTGATGACGTAAAATTCATAGGACTAATTTAGATTTAATATCAAACAATTTAAGCAAACGATAGGTTTTTGGACTAATTAACCTCCAGTGCAATAATTATAAACATTTTTCATTGAAACAAAACGATAGCGGTAAGTGAACTTTGTTATTGTTACTGGCGCCGACGTTACGCTCGCACGGGGGAGGCTCCGGTGGTGGCCGAGGGAGGAGCTGGCAGGGCCAGTTTCTTGGAGGCAAACCAGTCGGACAAGACCTGAAGAAGTCCAGCGAGGTCAGCCGGTGCAGCTCAAGCATCGGGCTAGACACGCAAATTTTGAGGTGAACTTTCAGGGTCAGAGCGGTACAGTTGTTTATGAACTTGACAAAGCACAAATAATGATTTTGTAGAAGACATATGAATAAATCTAGATAATCTTCCCTAGAATATTCAGTTTCCTTCGGCTTAGTACGCAAATCTTGCGGTGAACTTTCAGGGTCAGAGTGGTACTGTTGTCCAGGAACTTAACAAAACCTAAAAAATCATTTTGTAGAAGACATTTAAATCAATGTGCACTCTTCACTAGAGAATATTCAGTTCCTTCGGTTTAGTGCAAGGAATTTTTCAGGTCTAATTCAGTCTCCTTTTTTATATTGCTCTCACGATACCTAGCGACACAACACCTCAACTGTCAGATGCACACTGATCATCCAACAGCTAAGGATTCAAAGGCGTGTTGATGTTTTCGTTTAATTATTGTTTCGGTTTCTGTGGGCCAATAGGAATTTAAATTACTTCGGCCAATTTTAAATTAAGAGCCTAACGGTTTCTTCTAAAATTTAACTGTATGTCTAGGAATCTTTTATTTTGATTTAGATGAAATTTATTGTAATGTACGGCGTAAGTAATTACAGGAAATGTCGCCACACGTGAAGGCTGAGTACGGCAAAAAAAACCTCTGTCGTAAGCGAGTAAAAAAGCAGTCAATTGCTCGTGCTCAAGTCTACAAAATTTTCAAGTTTTGATCGCTGAATGTCACATTTATTTTATAATGATGTATCAAAGAACCAAAAACCGAGTTGCAATGCGCGTGGATTAATTTTAAAAGGTTTTCTGCATTCGATCAATATAATTTAGTACGAAACATTGCTATAACCATTCGTTTGGTGATGTAATGCTAGAGTTATTCAATTAAAATATAGTCCTCATTTTCATTAGAGAATAAGATCACATTTTGACAGTTCGTGACCTCACATGCACGGTTGAAATAAATTAATGTATTAATTAATGTTGAAATGTATTAATTCAACCATGCTCACATGGACCTCATAGCGAGAATTTGCAGGCTAACAGAAACATGAACTTCATTTTCGTTTCAGAGGGCAGCAACTAACGTCACTAGACAAAACAAAAACATGTGTCTTGAAAAAGAAAAATAATTACTAAACTAAACTCCACTAGTATGGAACGCTTGTTACGTTAAAAAAGTTAATCTCGTACGCTCCATTCAACGAAATAAAAAGACGGGCTCTTCAATTTATGAGATTTATTGCCCTCACTTAACGTCTTAGCTGTTCCGCCAGAGCGACATTTTAGCGCTCGATTCTACTAGGTAAAATTGTTCTTTATTGAAGAAATAAATAACTGAAAAAGTCAGAACCCGACAATAAGCTTTTATCAGTAAATCTTTGAGCAGGCCTTATAGGTGCTGGTACACCGGGACACTAATGGCGCAGTACACCTTTAATACATGTTCGGTCTTAAAATGACTAGCACCTTACAGACCAGGCAATAAGTCCAGCAGCTATCTCAATCAATCGTCAGTTATGGAAAGATCGGGTTCGAAAGGCCGGATTCCTTGTGAATAAAGTCACGAAAAGTACAAGAATCGGCAACAGGCCATCGGCCTATATCTTCAGTGCCGACACTTCTGTTCTATATACTAACCGCCACTATATACCATTGTAATGACTTCGCATTGACACTCCTGGCCACAGCAGCACCCAGCAACCCTTAACACGGGCCAATAGCTTGATAATTAGTGGCCGTGTGTATTAGTCATACTGTCCGCCACTACTAGCGGTGTTTTAGTTGTACTGGCCGCCACTACTGGCTATGGATGCACCCAGTAACTCTTTACACAAGCCATTAGCTTGATAATTGAAGGAGGTGTATTCAGGTTGTACTGGCCGCCACTACTGGCCACGAAAGGTCTCGGTAACCCTTTACACTAGTAGCTCGATAACTACTGGGCGGTGTATTAGTTATACTAGCTGCCACTCCTCGCCCCGTGTACAAGTTATATGATTTAGGCATTTAGCGTACCAAAAGCACTTCGATGACAGCGATAAAAAAAATCAGCCTAACTATCGTTAGCTAATGGCTGCAAACTTTCGTAAGGCTAGGAATAACAAATAAGATCTGGGTCG